GACAACCCTGAAGGAAGTTTGAGCTTAGAAATTTTTTCTTTAAATTTTTCCTTCAAGGTCTCAGCCGCTTGATGCACAGTGGTTTCCAAGTGTGTGGGATCATAAGTGGTTTCAAAATAATTTTGAAAAGCCCTAATCTCTTTGGCGTGAGTGAACATACCTTTCTTGGAGTGTACCTGCACATCGAACGCATCAGTTAGTTTCTGTTGAATGGAGAGGGTATCGAACATATAAGATTGGTATAACTTTGTCCACCATTCCAGAAAACCCTTTACTGTGAAGTGTGTGGGTTCAAAGGGTAGCAGTTCAAATTGAGCAAAGCCTTGATATTGTTCCTGTTGCAGTTTGGCTTCTCTTGCTTTAAAGGTTCGACCAGAAGTGATGGCACTCTCTGTTTGGAACAGAGGTCCAGGGATTAGTTGGCACAGGCCAAATTGTCCAGAAACAAAGTTAGGTTGATAGGCAAAGAGGAAGATTTGATTCTTGGAAGGAGTTATTCGTGAGGAAATTAATCTAGGAAGCAAAAAGGCTTTCCAAATATCTTGAATTTCTTTGCTTTTAACTGCTTCTGAGAGAGCCATGGTGAACCATGATGGTCCATGAGTCCTTGAAGCAAAGGGTGCCATGGTCTCTTCAAATTTGTGTCTTTTGGAAAAAATCATGATGTATTTTGAGAAAAGGACTTTGAAGTCATCTTTGTCATCATTCGGGGTTAGTTTTCGCAGCCTGGTACCTTCAATAATTCTATCCGCTACCTCCGGATCTTGTTCAACAACGGTGTTAGTAGTTGATAGTGAGGGTTCAAACATGGAATTAAGCTATAATTGGAGTAACCAGAAGGGGCCAGCTAGAAGGATGTTTTTGGGAGTATGGGATTTCAAACTCGAAATGGCTGATCTTAAGCTTTCGTAAAGATCAACAAGTAACAGTTCGCTCAAACATACCCTCCTATTCTCATGTAAGTCTCTAGCTAGAGGAATGAACCTGCTCGCTACCTGTAAGGACCTGCTGCAGAATACATATCTTGATAACCATAAAGTGAGGAAAGCAATATGTTCCACATCTGACACATTATCTCCTTCAGTGTGGTAATGGCTAATGAATTTGGAAAAGCTGGCTAATTTGACTTCGAAGTAAATAATGCTGGAGTGTTCTTCATTGTCAGGGATATAGGTTTCTCCTACTGGTGACAAACCAGTGATGGCTGCTATATCGAAAAATGTGGGTGTTATCATTCCCCCAGGAAGATGAAAAGTGTTGTAGGTGCTGTCCCAGAAATATAAGGACACAAATAACAACGGATGACTATAGGTGAAGCCTGGTTTCGATAACTTAATCAAATTATAGATTCCTAATTCCTCCTATTGCTGGGATTTCTTGGCTTCTACTTTGGTAAGCCAGTTTTGGTAAGCTATGTCAGAGGTAGGGCAGGATCGGAATGGTTTAAAGTTGCTCTTCACGTAGTCTAACACAAAGGGATCTTTTGGGGGAACGGTTGGAGTTTCTATGGTTGTCGAATCAGAAGACTCACCTATCTTAGGGATATCCATCTTATTAAACAAGGGCTTAAAGTTATAACAAACAGGGAAGATTTTTCTAGTATCTTTTAAGATTTCAAAGACTGTAAGAGGACCCATTAGAGCAAACCTCTTTCCAGCAGCGTTAGTTGGAATTAGTACCTGAGAGGCGTAGAGCATTTCCTTTTCTTTGGAGATCATTTGGGGGATAAGCACAGATTGACCTTGATAAGTACCAACCTTGCTTTCCATTATTGTTCCTGTGTTCTTGCCTTTCTTTTTGGAAGTTTTCTTCAGTTGGGATGATGTTGTAGAAGACATTGTTGAAGATTGTTGGAAGTTTTAGGGTTTCGGTGAGAAGAGAGGAAGAAAAGTTTCAGAATGTGGAAAAGAATAAAAGACTAAGTTGATTGATTTTTATAGTGTGAAAGTTTAAACATCCACTAAGTGAGACTAGGATACGTGGAAGTCGTGGGTTGGATTGAGAAGGAGGTGGCGTAAAGGCTGATATTGGTAATAAGCGTGGTTAATAATAATCATTGTTTTATAACTGCACCATGCTGTGAAATACTGATTCAAGACGGTTAAGAAATCCAAGAGGCGTCGTGATTGACGTGAGTGGGGTCATACGCAATAAATGTTATGATTACTCAAAGGTCACATCAAAATCTTGCAAATATATTTAAAATAAGTGTTTCTCAAGGGATCGAAATACATATTTTAAAGGGGCATTTTGTTGGCTGAAGATTTTGATGATACAGTTCGAAACGAAGCAAGTTGGATGTTTCGTTGGAATAAAGCAAGATGTTACGGTTCAGAATGGTAGAAGCAGTTCTTCGAACGAACATGTCAAAGCTCGGAGCTTCGAGTGACAGTTGTGAAGATATATTTAAAAGAAGCCTCGAAGTGGTAACGAGACTATGTCTAAGAAATGAGTTCGAAGCGAAGAGTGCCAAAACATTTGAAATTCAAACGCAAGCGGGATGTTCAAAATTTAAATATATATGCGCTGGAGCGTTCGAAGACGCATGGAAGCTAGAGAGGAGCAGTGCCCTGCATGTTCTGAACGTGGCAGAATCTTATAGGCAAGACCGTTATGGTCGAAGTAGTATAAATAGAAGTCTTAGTACTAGGATTTCCTGTGTCATATCTATTGTACAAAATTCAGTAAACATTCAAAATACCACATGGCTAGGGAAACGAATGCTCGAATAATGTACGTATGATAACACCAAATATTTATAATTCAGTAAAACCCTTTATCTTTTCCAGTTTATCTTTTATCTTCATGTCAGTGTCATTCAACACCTTTACATTCAAAGTCATTTACTTGTTTCCTGCATTTAAACGCTTTCCTTCTATTTCGAATCCTTCACATTTCAGAAACTCTTTTACATTTCATGCTTTTATATTCATGCTTTTTCATTAAAGTCTTTACATTCAAAGTCATTTACTTGTTTCCTGCATTTAAACGTTTCTTCTATTTGAACCCTTTACATTTCAGAAACTCTTTTATATTCATCCTTTACATTTCTTTGCAATCGAATCTTTATTCATACAATTCAGTTTCGTATGTTTTCACTTGATTATGTCATTAGACCCTTTTAATATGGTAATCGAAGTGAGTTGAACCCCTATAAAACATTCCAAATACAAATCCTAACTATGAATATCAGATTTACAATTAGAGTTATCCAAACGACCAATACTCCATAGGATCAATCTAGTCGATCCCGCAAGTTACCAGAGAGATTAAATAACAGTTATTAAGATTATTTGATAGTTTGGAGGACTAGCGGTTGTTTACCAGAAATCACTGTAAACAGTGAGGCATAAAATCGATATAAATATTAAATAAAAATTATATAGTTATGGTTAAGAAATGTATATAAAAATATATACGAATTAAGAGGAAAAAAAACTTTAAATGATGATTATCACATAAATTTTAATTTAATTTATTAAGTTGTAGTAGTTGTCAAGATATATATAGAAATTATGTTGAAAAATATGAGTAGATAGTCTAGTACACTTCACACACATATATAAAATTGATTATCTACCTGTGTGTTTATATGGTTGTGCAATATCGTTATAAATAACAAATAAATATAATATAATAATGGTTAAAAGATGTATATAAAAGATATATAAATTAAATAGTGTTGACCCGTTAAAAATGTATATTTTAATAGTTTAAGATATTCTCTAATAGAATAATAATCAAATCAGAATAAAAAATAAAATTTAAATAAAAACAAAGAATGAGCTTAAAGCATATTGTAAGGGTCATCGGAAACCCTAATTATTAAACAAGGAAAGGAAAAGGGTAAAGAGAAAAAACATTAAATTAATTATTGAATGATGAATTAAAAGCAAGATATGTAGAATAAAGCATACAATACTTCCCCCTGCCTACCACACTTCCATTTCACCGTCGATTCCTTCTCATCTCTGTTTCTCTTTTCATCTTTCTCTCCTTGTTCTCAAACCCGCTCTCTCACTCTCTGTTCTTTCTAAATCTCATGAAAACAAACAACAATCACGCTTTCATTCTCACGGTTCCTTAAAAACAACAATCAACCAACACAACCACACCTGGATTTGCAGCTTGAACAAGACAAAGTCTAGAAAATAAATTGAAAATTCTTCGCAGGTAAATTTTTCTCGTCTGGAATCAAAAGTGTTCATAAAAGCTCTCTGATAGCAGTAGCACGAATCAAATTGTTTAATGGTTTGTTTTTAATTTTCTACAATCTATAATATAATAAACATATATGTCATGGAAAAGACATTTATGTCCATCATTGTCCACGTGTCAATTATCATGGGTTCGGAACCATGCTGGAAACAACCTCTCTATTATAAAAATAGATGTAAGACTACATATATCCGATCCCTTAGAGCCCATAAAATAAGAGCCTCGTGCACTATGTTATTCCTTTTTTTATTATTACGCTTGCAAATTGTTTATGTTGTCCTTGAAATTAAGCGTTTCATTAAGTTTTTCAAAGAGTATCAAAGTAATTTTGATAGTATATTAGTTTATTATATTAATAATAGATTATTTATATTATTTTAATATTTTGAGTTTGTAGAAAAAGAAAATTAAAAACTTTAGTTTTGATTCTTTTGAATTTGTTCAGTTCGGTTACCCACAGTTCAAATTTCTTTTGATCAATTAATTCGGTTACCCGCAGTTACATTTTAGTTCGGTTACCTACAGTTCTGTCATCTAACAACAATTTGATTGGATTCCGTTCTTTGAATTTTTTCAAGAACCCTAAATTACCACTCAACCACCGACGCTCGTCGCCTCAGGTTCACATTTCTCATCCTCCATTCCCTACTTTTTCAAAATCACTACGTGCCTCTTTATTTTTCAACAAATTCATAGCATTTTCTAGGGCACTTTGTTATCTCTCAGATTCAAATTTAAATCTTTTTCAATTGGTTGATGTTTTAAATTACAGCTTATGATCAATGGAAGCAAAAGTGTGGGAATATTCTTCAAATGAAGATAGTGATGATGATAATGATCAAGTCTATTTGCAAAATGCAAGTGATGAAGAGGACCTTCACTTCACATCCAGTTCCTTGCCCAAATTGCAGTTCAGGTTTGTGTTTTTTTTTTTTTTTCCGATATTGGTATTATAACTAACGTTTTATAGCATAACAGTCACGTAAAGATTTTCGCGATTTCGGTCTGTACAGGTGCTGCGACTGCCGTGGTGTGAATTAATTACAATTTCTGATAATAACGGTCATGTTACTGTGTGAATTAATTTTTTTTTTTCGGTTCATTCGCCAGGAATGTGAAATCAAAATGCAGGTGGAATGAAGAGATGGGAATGGCAGAGGTTATTGAGAAGAATGGGAAAATGTGGGTATCAACTGGAATTGTTCGCAGTGGCAACATTTATACTTCAATCGAGGAGACTTTGTAGGTGATACGCCATTTTTTTTATATCTTCTTTTGTGATGTTATTATTCAGACTCCGTACCGACACCTCTGAAAAAAACGTGTATGAAACAGTTACATGTTAGAAGAGAAAATAGCCAAAGAGGATTTTGTGATGTATTTTTTTTAGAATTGAATATTTTGAAAACTTGTGGTTGACTAAATTTTAATTTTCGGCAGGTATCTTATGGAATTAGGAGCCTTACATCTCGTAGACGATGAAAATAGAAGTATATCTCTAATTGAAATGTACGATAAGGTTGCAGGCGGGAAGAGTGGATGTTGCTGGGAGTTGTTTGAGGCTTACAGGCATCTCAAGTCTCTTGGCTATATAATTGGGAGACATGGTGTTGCTTGGAGTTTGAAGAGTGTTAGAAGTTCTCAAAAACAAGTTGCTCTTGAAGTTACAGAAGAAAGCACGCAAGTAGTAGACATAGGTTCCAAACTCGAGCTTTCTATCTGTAAGCTATTTGGTGACTTGAAGATTAACGATTTGAAGCCGGATTTTGATGTTTATCTTCCTGACAGCAGGTTTAGAAAATCTTCTCCAGGTGATCCAAATTTTATGCTGTACTTGTCGAGGTAATTACTACACCTCTGATCATATCAGTATGATTACTTTAGATTCTGAAATTTATTTGTTAAGTGATTTATACCATTAACCAAAAGACCGTGTAGTAATCGAGAACATGACTCGTAGGAATTCAAGCATACATTTTGGTTATTCATTTAAAAAATTTAACAGAAAGAGCCACACTATATCGTTCGTCCTTATAAATGAATAGCCATGCAAATTTATTCTTAGCTCTAAGCTTCCCTGATTTTTTCCTCCTCTAAATGTTTTTGGAGAATATATTAAATTAGTTTTTTCATGTATAATCTGTCAGGGGTAATCTGCCATCTAGAGCTGAAATTGAAGCCCTTGAGAGACAATGCGGGGGAATTCCGTTGAAAATCTGCCAGGTCACAGAAGGAAGGGTCAGTTTCTTTTCCTTTGACAAGGTTGAACTTCCTGTTTTATCTGGATAGTTTGGTATCAATTCTATTTTTCCACTCTATGCTCAGAGGGAAAAGAAACTGAGGATTGTAATGATAGAATAGCTTATAAGATCCAATAATGTGCGACAAAGCTGCAGAAATAATGGTTAAGATAGCCTTGCACTGCAAATGGGCTCAATGTCACAAACTGGAGCATGATTTAGGTCTAACTGGTTATTATAATTATGATGCAATAACAAGAAACTGAAGGCAAGTGGCAATACATGCCTCAGTTTGTGATGTTACTTATGACAGAGAAAACAAAACTTATTTAGTTGTATGGATGGTGTTGAATAGAAGATTTGTCATTAGAGTTACAAATAGGGATAATGCGTGTGTTGTTCAATCTATTTATAATTCTTTTCTGTTGATTTCAATGACAAATTTATCCGCTGTTGCGTGTTGTTTCGGATGACTCGACTTCTTACATCATTAGTGTTCTTCTTCATTTAGTTATGAAATTGTTGAAATTTAGATTAGTGAGGTGAGCTAGGGCTGTCTCAATATGCAATTTATTTATCATTTTTCCTTTCTTTCTCATTGTTAATTGTTGATGACACTACTATGCCATCATTGGTGTTCTTCTTGGAGAAAAGAGCCATTGTGCATTAACATAGTATAGTTGAAGGATCAAATTGACACTTTTTAAAGTTAAAGGATAAAAAAAAAGGTAAGCTTTTGTTTATTTTGTGAAAATATTTGTCTATTTTTGGTTTTTCTAAAATTTGTACTGATTTTATTTACTAGTATTCTAGACTCTCAAAGTAATATATGTGTTCACTTTCTAAAAATAATGATAATATAAAAAAAGTTGGTGTTACTATTTTCAAATTGCATAATCTCAGTAATGTTTCATATTCTATCTTATGACAATTGACCTGCGTCAACAGTGTTACATTTTTTAATTAACAAATTGAAATGAACACATTTTAAAAATAAAATAAAATATATCTTTGCAAAAGAAAGAGTCTAAAAAATTATTAAACAATGCAAAGCAACAAGCTTAATTAAAATTTTTTGGAGTGGAAATTGCAATTGAACTTATAATTTGGGAGAGAAAGCATATTTATCCTTTCAATATATTTATTATTTAATAAGCTAGAGATGAAACATATTTATTTCGAGAAAAAACCTTGATATATATTTGATATTTGATAAGCGATAAGTGATAACCCTGTTTATTAGTTATTATTTTTTTGGTATTTACCTAGATGGTCGTCTCACTCTATCAACGAGATTGAGGGTCTGTTTGTTTGTGGGCTACTAGAAAAAAATCGTTTTCTCTCAATTTAGAGACATCTAAAAAGTAAAAATAATGAGGAATATATAATGAAAAATATTTCTGAAAATTTGAAATATCTTTTAGATGTGTATATCTAAACATATTAATTAGTGTGTTTTGAATAAGCACATCTGAAATCATCTGGTGTATATGAAAATAGAGGTTTCAGATATGCATATCTGAAACTTTGCTTGTTTGTATCATTTTTGTTTAAAACATTATCATTACCACTACCTAATAAACGGATAAATATAAAATGATACGATTTAGACGAAAAATGAAACAAACATAATTATTATTAGATTAGATGTTCAGAAATAGATAAATATAATACATGGGTTGTTCAAAAAGTGTATAATATCAAAATATTACACCGGTAAAAATAAAACAAAATAACATAGGCTACTGCTACTGCGTATGCCTAATTCTAATCCCATGTGATCTCCTTTGTCTCCTATATCCCGCCACACTGGATTCCTCCCTGACCATCCTTTCAACAATGACCACCGCCTGAGGACCGCCTATATCAATGATCCATTTATCCAATGCCTATTGCCCAAGTGTGTGTATTCGCTGACATATCGATTCGCTGACATATCGACAAGATATCAGTGGCATTGTTATCTTCGGCATGCTGGTTCTCCAAGAGCTCCTCATGAGCTGACCTAGGTGGACGTCCAGGACCATCTGATATCATGATAGGATGTAGCACTTTAAAGAACCATGCCACGTATCCCTCTACGCAATGCCAACTCTCGGATGCCACCATCATCCGATACTCTTGTGGCACCAAATGATTCTCCCAATCCTGAAAGATATCATCAAGTTCCCGACGGACAATGGTGTCGGGAGAAGCCTGGAAAAGAGATCTTGGTATCATCTGCAGAAATCCAAACTGCTGGATGCACCGCTTCGGAATATACCTGACCATAATATTTGATCCACATGCTAGCTACTCAAATTATAATAAGATGAGGTCGAAGGGAAAAACATCCTCGTGATCCTCGAACGGTGTCCATCTGATGTCATCATGGTTAGTACAATCAAGATACACACGGTAAGGCGACACAACATGATTCCCTCTGTGGAGGATGTACTTTGCACCCCTTGACATGTCATCACTATATTCCAAGTCACGCTCGAAGCCATGAATGCGGTAGAAGTGAGATATGATCCCACTATGAAACACGAATAAGAGAATATGTAAATACAAATTATTAATAACAAATTAAATATAATAGTTGGAATGAAAGGTACCGCGAGGAGTGTGCAAGAGTCAATTAGCTGCCTCGTCCTCTAGTTTGAAGCTTCATTAAGCTTCTGGTAGAGGTATACCAAAATGGAGCCCCCCATTTTCACTCATGAAATGTACTCAAATTCATAAAATATCGGAGGTATGTCACATCCATGTAGGTTGTACTTTTTTCCACAAAGAGAGACGTGTCAACCAAAAATATGTAGTTACACCGTAAAGCACAATCTCAATGGTACTAAACAAAAAGCTCATCACCCTCTGCCTCCGCAACCAATTGTAGTTCATATAGTTCGTTTAGGATGGAGAACTTGACATGCGACCCATTAGTTGATCTGCACTCTTCTGCTGCCTTTTCTGGTTGCATTCCCAGATGCTCAACCTTCCATTTAACCGCCTCAACACGTGGTACCCAGGAAAGGAGCAAGCATTCCACGTTAGCAAGTGTGATCATCATCTCCCCAACATGAAAGTGTGATCTAAAACCACCGGCGAACATCCATTTTCGAACAACTTCATCTTCTTTCCCTAAATCATCCAAAAACCTTATTTCTTCACCCAAACACCCACATTTAACTACTCTAACATCAACATACACAATGTAATTGATTCTAACTAACCTATTAACCTATTATAGCATTGCAAAGTGAATCAAATGGAAATAGAGAAAACTTATACAAATTTGAAGCTTTGGAGATGAGTAGAAAAGACTTCAATAGAGCTTTTGCTTCTTCAAACTCAGTTGAAATGAGTTGAAATGAGTTCAAATGAGTGGAAATTTGAAGATTTAAGAAACATGGTTTTTGGGTTTCTTTAACAAAGTAGAACATAAGCGTGAAATAGCTTGTTCGCGATGGTCTTTATCTTTAAATAAATTCGGATATGCACATCCAAAGTATATGAACTTAATTCATGAGGCGACTTCGCATGTGCATACTCGAAACACCTTAAAAGAAAATTATGAGGTTGATTCAGATATGCACATGCGAAGTCACATTTTCTTGACAAAAAATAACTTCAGATACGTACATGCAAAGCCACCTTTTATTTACCAATAAAGCGAGTTCGGATATGCACATCAGAAGTGTGAAGTATTTTAGGTTTTTCGCCAAAAACCTCCTAGAAAATATAGGGGTGGAAAAAAATTCCTAAAATAATGTCTTCCGCATTAAAGGATTTCTCATTAAGAGCAATAAAACATGATCACTTAAATTTTCCCCGTGCATTAGTTGCGCCTTTGACCACCAAAACAATGTTCCCTTTCAGCGTTTTTTTGTCCTTCTCCAGCTCTGATTTATTCCTTCCTGGTCTCCTTGTTATTTGCACAATTGTCCATGATCATGCATTTGAAGGTGGTTTAACCTCCTTATCAATTCCTTTAACACTTCTTTCTGTTTCTTTTCACCTCTCTTCTCAACCACAGTTTGACGTTTCTCCATACATCTTCCATATTGTGGCCAAATATACCACAAGTTAGACATATAAGGTGTAATTCTTTATACTCTACTTTATAGTGTCTACCTTTAATAAAAAACATGGCTAAAAGAGGTCTAATAAAATCCACTTGTATCACAACCTTGCATACTTTTCTCTTTCTCCCGAGAGAGTATTTTATCTAATTTAACCATCTTTCCAATGCGATCACCAATAAAAGAAAGGACCATGTCATCATAGCACTCAATAGGTAGGCTAGAGATTCCTACACAAACTGCAAGTTGTTCAATAGCATCACTAGAAGGAAATAAATTAGAACTCCATTTGCCTTACTGAAAGATAGTGGTCGTATATTAGCCAAAGACCTTTCATTAAGGCTAAACATTGATCCTCTTCACTAGTGAAAGTGACTAGGTAATGTTCTTGACCTATGCCTACTATGTTTAGTACTCTTCTCCTTGTCCACATCTGCTGAAGTCTATTTTCAAGTGTCTTATATCATATTCTTCTCTCGAATGTCTTGACTATCATCCCTCATTTCCATAGCTCAACAATCATTCTTTCTCTTATAATAATTTTGGGATTTCGTACTCCCTGAATTTCCTTTCTTCAATCTTCAAACCTCCAGTGACTTTGCTTCCATCATTAGATCCCAAATCTATGTGAGTGTGCTAAATTGTTTCCTCCATTGTGTTCAAAGTTTCCCAAATCACCATATTCTTGTATGTAACAATACCCATGCTTCTATTATCATCAACATTCTCATACACCAAGAGTATGTTTGACATAGAAGAGGAGAATGTCTCTCCTTTTCCTTTGACTTTTTTTGTGATTTGATCTCTCAATTTTTTTCTCCCAATTGATTCTTTTGGTTTGCGTTTGCAAACCCTAATAGAGAAACACTCATTCGCAAACCCTTGCTGAGTGTTTTTTATACCACCAACAGTTATTTTAAAATATAAAATAAATGACATTTAAATTGATGTTTGTATTTTCACTTTCATCAAAAGTTATCAATAATTT